GGGAAACGAGAGGTCTGCTGCGCCCTGGGTTCCTCCCTGGGGGGGGACCGAACGCCTGTGGAGGTGGCTGCGGCTGGCTTCGCAGTGCTGCGCTTTAACCAGTTGTACCACCAGGGAGGGCCTTACCAGTTTCTTCTATAGGTAAACTTTGTTCAGAACAGAACACTCCCTAGAGGAAATGACCCAAAGATCCGAACAGATACTTTACTAACAAAATAAATAAGCACGCGGGCTAAGCACAAGACCAGCTTTAGCCATTAGGGATATATAAATTGAAATCACAACGAGATGCCCGTTCTAATGGCCTAAATTAAATGGACAGAGGTCACACCAAGTCCACGTGAAGCTGAGAGTAACTGAAACAGAATTTCGGTAGGAGGCAACAAGGCACAGCAACTCTGGAAAGCCACCGGCGGTTTCTTATAAAACAAGCCTCTACCTAACCTATGACTCAGCACCTCACGCCGAGCATTACCCTAGAGAAATAACTACTTGTATTCATACCGAGCCATACATGAACGCTTACAGCAGCCGGACTTCCAACAGTCAAGACGTGGAAGCAATCCCAATGTCCCGAGGGCCCCTCAACAGGTGGGCAGAAGACAATGGTTCGCCCATACCACGGAGCGCTACTCAGCAGTGAAAAGCAAGCGAGCACTAACAAGCCAGCCACAGGCCCGAGTTGCAAATGCACCATGCCCAGTGAGGCCCAAGTGGCATGTGCTCGCTCCACCGCGCAGCGCTGCTGATCACTCACAGGGACAGAACAGTGAGTGGGTGCCCAAGGTTCAGCGTGTGGTAAATCCCAGTGTCAATGAGTCTGTGGGTCCTTTGGGGCTGAAAGAGTGACTTTTAAGGTACAATAGAGCTCGATAAATCTAACTTTTAAAATATATACTGTGGGGGCCCCCTGCTGGCACAGTCTCAGGGTGCTCATGCTATCGCCTCTGCAGGCGAGTTCGATCCCCGGCCAGGGAAGGACCCCCGGGCGCAGCAGGCCTCTCCTGTCTCCCGCTGCCCCTCAGCGGTGGATTGCAGACACCGAGGCCTGTTCTGCTCCCCGCTTTGCCTTTGGCCCCCATGTCTTTGGCTTACACCCCACTCTTGTATGCATAAATAAATGAATCCTTTAAAAAAAATGTGATGTTACGTAAAACAAGCCAGACACAAAAGGACGAGTGTTGTATGATTCCTCTCAAACGAGGTACCCAGAAACAGAGCAGAAGAGCAGAACAGAAGCTGCGAGATGCTGGTCCAGAGGTGGGAGGTTAGTGTTTAGGAACCCAGAGTTTGCGTCTGGGGTGATGAAATGTTCTGAAACGGCACAGCTTTGTCAATGCACTGACGCAGCCTACACGCAAGGTGGTTCTTGGGGTAACCAAAGGCACCCGGGAGCACTGCTTCCTCTCTGCCAGCGAACAATATGGCGGAGAGCAGGCCACACCTGTGGCCAGCAGCGCACTCCGCTCAGCCTGCAGCACCAGCAGGCCCGCCCCCCGCCCTGGGAGACACAGACGCGCTTTCCAGGGACAGTGAATGCTGAGACTCAGAGGTGCGGGGCGTATTTCCTACGGACTTTTGTTTAAAACAACTTGCGCTGAGCTTGGGGACGTAAATAAAGTTCTCTCGTATAAATATTGGCCAGAAAATGTTGCATTGAGAGGTAGTTGTGTGAAGACGCTCTGGTACTGAAAACCAAGAGGATTCTCCTGGGAAAATGTTAACTGGGGAAACGTCTCACAAGGCGTGAGTGACGGATCTTCCGAACCAGCAGAAGGAAAACCCAGAGCGAAGGAGACACACCAAGGGGCGCAGAGCAGCGGCCCAGGCGGCGGCCTCCAGGGCCTGAGAGGCGTTTCCCGTGGAGTGGCCTGTCCACGTTGTGCCCAGCCAGGCTCAGACAGGCGCACTGACCGGCCTGGGACCCATCCTGCCCAGGGAGGGGCCGGGCAGTTGCTTGGGAGGTTTGGATACTACTAACAGAAGAAAGGGGATGAGGGTCTGCCAGCTACACTGGGCCTGACACAGCCTTTAAGGCTGATACCTCAAGCCGTGACAATCTGGCCCTCCTTGGTGGCCTAGGGTGAAGTCTCTGCACTATCACTGGACACTGAATTCGATCCCCGGCCAGGGAGTGACTGACAGGGTGCGGCAGACCTCTCCCACCTCGCCCACTGCTCCAGTCAGTAGTGGGTTTCAGTCCACCTGCATGTTCTGCTCCCCACTCTGTCTCTGATGAAGCCTCTCACCCTCCTGCACCTCTGGCCTGTACCCCAGTTCTTGTATGCAAAAAAAAAAGGTGCAAATAAATAAAAGAAATTCCATTTATTTTCATTTTCATAAGAACAATGAAAATTGTGCTTTTTTTCTGTTCATGTTTTGGAGACTTCATAGATAAATAAAAGCAAGGACCCTCCCTGGTGGCACTATGAAGCCTGCTCCGGCCACTTCAGCGCGAGTTTGATCCCCTGCAGGGAGGTGACCCACAGGGCACGGCAGACCTCTCCAGTTTCTCCCGCTGCTCCCCTCAGCAGTGAATTCAATCCATCTGTGTGTTCTGCCCCCCACTCTGTCTCTGGTGAAGGCTCTTAGCCTCCCGCATCTCTGGCCTGCACCCCAGTTCTGTATGTACAAACGTGGCGAAATGCATCACACAGAGGCGGGTTACAGGCATCGGCTAGTCACAGACCTTTCTTCGCCGGCGTGCTCATTATACTAAGTCCCTGGGGGCTCAGCAGAATCACCCTGGCCTTGTGGCCCCCATCTTTTTTTTTTTTACTTTATACAAAAACTGGGGTACAGGCCAGAGGCACAGGGTTGGGGGAGTGAGAAAACTCACCAGAGACAGATTAGGGAGCAGTATAGGCAGATCTACTGAAACACTCTGCTGAGGGGAGCAGTGGGGAGACAGGAGAGGTCGCTG